ATTATTATTATTAAGTGCTGAACTGAAATGTTTCACCTGCATGAAGATGAAGAGTCGTCCTGTTCTGTTTTCAGTGTTTGTGTTTCATACGTGACGTAAACATGACAAACATTTCCCAACATGATTTTCCTTCTTTTTAAAATAAACGGCTCAGCTCCGTCACATCCTGCTGTGCTAACCGTTGACCCTCCTCTTCCTCTTCCTGTTCGTCCAACAGAAAGCTTCAGAGAAGCTGAAGGAAGAGGAGAGGAGGAGGCTGGCTGAGGTCCAGGCTGAGTTAGACCAGCAGAAGCAGCTGGCTGAAGCTCAGGCCCAGGCTGTGGCCAAAGTCCAACAAGAAGCTCTGCAGCTGAAGCTGAAGATGAAGGAGGAGGCCAACAGGAGGCAGGACGTGGCCGCCGACTCCGAGAAGCAGAAACAGAACATCCAACAGGAGCTGCAGCATCTGAGGAGTCTGTCTGAGCAGGAGATCACCTCCAAGAGCCAGCAGCTGGAGGAGGCGCTGCTCAGCAGGACCAAGATCGAGGAGGAGATCCACATCATCCGCCTGCAGCTGGAGACCACCGTCAAGCAGAAAGCCACGGCCGAAGGAGAGCTCCAGAAGCTCCGAGACCGGGCCTCCGAGGCCGAGAAGCTCCGGAAGGCTGCTCAGGACGAGGCCGAAAGGCTCCGCAAACAGGTGTCCGAGGAGGCACAGAGGAAGAGGAGCGCCGAGGACGAGCTGAAGCGTAAATCTGACGCTGAGAAGGAGGCCGCCAGGCAGAAGCAGAAAGCCCTGGACGAGCTGCAGAAGTTCAAGATGCAAGCTGAAGAAGCGGAGCGGCGCATGAAGCAGGCCGAGGAGGAGAAGCTGAGGCAGATCAGGGTGGTGGAGGAGGTGGCCCAGCAGACCGCCGCCTCCCAGCTGCAGAGCACAGCCTCCATGTTCACAGAGAAGACCAGCGAGCTGGAGGAGTCCCTGAGGAGGCAACAAGGAGCCGTCCTGCAGCTGCAGGARGAGGCCGAGCACCTCCGCAGGCAGCAGGAGGAGGCGCACAGAGCCAGGCAGCAGGCAGAGCAGGAGCTGGAAACATGGAGGCAGAAGGCCAACGAGGCGCTGCGCCTCCGGCTGCAGGCGGAGGAGGAGGCTCAGAGGAGGACYCAGGCTCAGGAGGACGCGGAGCGGCAGAAGCTGGAGGCAGAGCGAGAGGCTCAGAGCCGGGCCAAGGCTGCGGAGGCCGCGCTGCAGCAGAGGGACCACGCAGACACGCAGCTGCAGCAGCAGAGGCAGCTGGCAGAAGGCATCGCTCAGCAGAAGCTGTCCGCAGAGCAGGACTGCATCCGCCTGAAGGCCCGCTCCGAGCACGCCGAGCAGCAGAGGAGCCTGCTGGAGAGCGAGCTGCAGCGCCTGAAGAACGAGGCGGCGGCGGCCGAGGAGCAGAGGAGGCAGCTGGAGGAGGAGCTGACCAGGCTGCGAGGCGAGATGGACGCTCTGCTGCAGGTGAAGCTCCAAACCGAGAAGGAGACGCTGTCGAAAACAGAGAAGAGTAAGCAGCTGCTGGAGGCCGAGGCGCTGAAGATGAAGCAGCTGGCGGACGAAGCTGCTCGCCTCCGATCTGTGGCCGAGGAGGCCAAGAAGCTTCGGCAGGAGGCGCAGGCCGAGGCGGCGCAGCAACGAGCCGAGGCCGAGCGGATCCTGAAGGAGAAGCTGGCTGCCATCGACGAGGCCACGCGAGTCAAAACCCAGGCGGAGATCGCCCTGAAGGCTACAGAGGCCGAGAACGAGCGGCTGAAGAGGAGGGCGGAGGAGGAGGCCTATCAGAGGAAGCTCCTGGAGGAGCAGGCTGCTCAGCACAAACAGGAGATCACTGAGAAGGTCACCCAGCTGACGAGCTCCTCCCACTCAGAGCTGGAGAGGCAGAGGAGCATCGTGGAGGACACGCTGAGGCAGAGGAGGCTGGTGGAGGAGGAGATCCACATCATCAGGATCAACTTTGAGAAAGCCTCCAAGGAGAAAACGGAGCTGGAGCTGGAGCTGACGAAGCTGAAGGAGCTCGCAGACGAGACGCAGAGGAGYAAACTGAAGGCTGAGGAGGAGGCCGAGAAGCTGAAGAAGCTGGCTGCAGAGGAGGAGAAGAAGAGGAGGGAGGCCGAGGAGAAGCTGAAGAGGATGGCAGCAGCCGAGGAGGAGGCGGCTCGGCAGCAGAGAGCTGCTCAGGAGGAGGTGCAGCGCCTCAAACAGAGAGCTGAGGAGGCCAACAAGCAGAGGGCGCAGGCGGAGGAGCAGGTGGAGCGGCAGGTGCTCCTGGCCCAGCAGGCCGTGCAGAAATGCAGCGCTGCAGAGCAGAGAGCTCAGAACGTCCTCAGCAAGAACCAGGAGGACGCCTCTGCTCAGGAGAAGATGAAGGAGGAGTTTGAACATGCCAAGCTGCTGGCTGAGACTGCAGAGGAGGCCAGGAGCAGGGCAGAGCAGGAGGCCGCCTCGCTCCGTCACAAAGCAGAGGAGGCGCAGAAACAGAAAGCAGCTGCAGAGGAGGAGGCAGCGAGGCAGGCCCGAGCTCTGAGCCACGCAGAGAAGCTGAGGAAGGAGGCAGAGGAGGAGGCCGCCCGCGGAGCTGCAGCCGAGCAGGAGGCGCTGAAGCTGAAGCAGCAGGCCGACGCAGACATGGCCAAACACAAGGAGCAGGCAGAGGAGGCGCTGAAGCAGAGGTGTCAGGTGGAGCAGGAGCTGAAGCTCATCAAGCTGCAGCTGGAGCAAAGCGACGAGCAGAAGGACGTCCTGAACGCTGAGCTGCACAGGCTCAAACAGGAAGCTGACGACGCCGTCAGGCAGAGGGCGCTGGTGGAGGAGGAGCTGGCAGGAGTCCGGGCCCARATGGACCAGCTCCTCCAGATCAAACTGAAGATCGAGGAGGAGAACCGGCTCCTCATGCAGAAGGACAAAGATGGCACGCAGAAGCTGCTGCAGGAAGAGGCCGACAAGATGAAGAACCTGGCGGCAGAAGCTGCTCGGCTCTCCGTGGAGGCTGAGGAGGCGGCGAGGCAGAGGCAGAGCGCCGAGGAGGAGCTGAGCCGGCAGCGAGCGCTGGCTGAGAACATGCTGAAGGAGAAGATGCAGGCCATCCAGGAGGCCTCCAAGCTGAAGGCTGAAGCTGAGGAGCTGCAGAAACTCAAGGAGCAGGCTCAGCAGAAGGCCCAGCAGCTGCAGGAGGACAAACAGCAGATCCAGCAGCGTCTCCAGAAGGAGACGGAGGACTTCCACAAGTCTCTGGACGCAGAGAAGAAGAGGCAGCAGCAGGTTGCAGCTGAGGCCGAGAAGCTGAAGCTCAGGGTGAAAGAGCTGAGCGAYGCTCAGGCCAAGGCTGAGGAGGAGGTCCAGAAGTTCAGGAAACAAGCTGACGAAGCTAAAACTCGTCTGCAGGACTCTGAGGAACAAGTGAGGCAGAGCGCGCTGCAGAAACTGGAGACTCAGAGGCTGCAGAGCAGCAGAGAGGCTGATGAGTTGAAGAAATCCATCTGTGAGCTGGAGACAGAGAGAGAGAAGCTGAAGAAAGAAGCAGAGGAGCTTCAGAAAAACACCCAGCAGGTCTGTAGCTCCGCTGTTAAAGAGCTGTAACATTAGACTTTATTTAATAAACGTTTATTTAACTGTAAAATAAAGACTGTAAAAATACTGTAGGATGTTCAGTTTTGTAAATTAAAAAAAAAATACATTTTAACACGGACGGAGCCATTTCATTTCCACACAAAGCATTCTGGGTAAATGATGACTTTTAGAATTGATTTAAGATTTTGTTTTTAGTTTTTAAATGTCTAAATGGTTTGGCACCTTATTATCTCACTGAGCTTTTACAGCCTCACATTCCAAACAGACCCTGAGATCTGTAAATCAAAAGCTTTTAGTTGTTCCCAGGTCTSGGCTTGTGACCAGGGGAGACAGAGCCTTTTCAGYTGCAGGACCTCGGCTCTGGAACAATCTCCCACTGTCTGTGAGGTCTGCTGGGTCTCTGAATGAGTTTAAGTCTCTGTTAAAAACTCATCTGTTTAAACAGGCTGAAGAGTCTGAAGAGCAGGATCATTAGGCCAGCCTTTGTTTTGTTTSRTTTYATTGTTCATTTTATTACTGTACTTTGTTCATTGTTTTTATTTTATGCGCTCCTGTACAGCACTTTGGTTTTTATTGTGCTTTATAAATAAACGATGATGACGATGATGATGACGTGGATAGGTCCTCGGTGCGAGGCTGCTAGCGAGCTATATCCACCCTGAAGGTTAATCTTGGACAATATCTGATGATCGACTCTTTTAAATGAAACCAGAGAGCGTTGACAGAGAGGAGAAGGTAGAAATGACTCAGCCTGGAACTGAAAATATGGATGGAGGACAACAGTTTAGCTTGTTTGACACGCTAGCACCGAGCTAATACATATAAGGAAATATAACATCGGTGCTAGCACAAAGGCTAACAAGCTAACCTGTTGTCCTCCATCCATGTTTTCAGTTCCAGGCTGAGTCATTTCTACCTTCTCCTCTCTGTCAACGCTCTCTGGTTTCATTTAAAAGAGTCGATCATCAGATATTGTCCAAGATTAACCTTCAGGGTGGATATAGCTCGCTAGCAGCCTCGCACCGAGGACCTATCCACGTCATCATTTACCCAGAATGCTTTGTGTGCAAATAAAATGGCTCCGTCCGTGTTAAAATATATTTTTTTTATTTACAAAACTGAACATCCTACAGTATTTTTACAGTCTTTATTTTACTGTTAAAATATATGTTTATCAAATAAAGTCTAATGTTACAACTAATCAGGGATCCCTTCAAAGAACCCAGGAGTRTTCAAGTATCCATCAGGTAACTTGTGATGTTTTACTGACTCTTTGTTGCTTTCACAGATGGCCAGTGCCCAGCAGGAGCAGATCGAGCAGCAGAAGGTCATCCTGCAGCAGTCGTTCCTCACTGAGAAGGAGCTGTTGCTGAAAAGAGAAAAGGCTGTGGAAGATGAGAAGAAGAAGCTGGAGAAGCAGTTCAAGGAGGAAGTGAAGAAGGCYAAAGCTCTTGAAGATGAACAGGAGCGTCAGCGCGCTCTGATGGAGGAGGAGAGGAAGAAGCTGCAGGCCATCCTGGAGGAGGCTGTGAGGAAACAGAGGGAGGCCGAGGCGGAGGTGAAGAACAAGCAGAAGGAAATGGAAGCTCTGGAGAAGAAGAAACCCGAACAGGAAAAACTCCTGGAAGAGGAGAACAAGAAGCTCAGGGAGAAACTGCAGACTCTCCAAGGTGCTCCTAAAGAAGGCGTGTCCAAAACGAAGGAGATGGAAGTTCAAACAGAGAAGGTTCCTGAAGAGCAGCTGGTTAGCATGGCAGCGGCGGGGACAACCAAGAAAGCGTTTAACGGCTCTGTGGAGGTGGACGCATCGAAGAAGGATGGAGAAGCTCGGTTAGCGTTCGATGGAATCAGAGAGAAAGTTCCTGCTGGAAGGCTTCACGACATCGGAGTCCTGAGCAAGAAGGACATGGACAAACTGAAGAAGGGCAAAGTCTCAGTCCAAGACCTGGAAAAGACCGACAAGGTCAGGTCGTGTCTCAAGGGCCAGAGCTGTGTGGGCGGGATCTTAACTCCATCCAGAGAGAAGATGAGCATTTATCAGGCCATGACGGAGAACAAGATCACTCCCAGCTCTGCAGCCATGCTCCTGGAGGCTCAGGCAGCCTCCGGCTTCATCGTTGATCCAATAAACAACAAGCTTCTCTCTGTGGATGAAGCTGTCAAGGAAGAACTAATTGGTCCAGAGCTTCATGACAAGATGCTGTCTGCTGAACGAGCAGTCACTGGATTTAAAGATCCATACACTGGAGCTAAAATCTCCCTGTTCGAGGCCATGAAGAAGGGTCTTATTGACAAAGAACAAGCCACCAAGTTCCTGGATGTACAGCTGGCGACCGGGGGCATCGTTGACCCCATCAACAGTCACAGGGTGCCCCTGCAGACTGCCTACAAGCAGGGTCAGTTTGATGCAGACATGAACAAGAAACTCATCGATCCCAGTGATGACTGCAAGTCATTCCTGGACCCCAGCACTCAGGAGCAACTCACCTACAAACAGTTAGTGGAGAAATGCAGCAAAGATCCAGAGAGCGGTCTGCTGATGTTACCAGTGTCAGAGCAAGCTGCTCAGGGTGAGAGGACCTACACCGACGAAGAGACCAAAGAGTTGTTCAGTACATCACACCTCCACGTCCCGTTTGGAAAGTTCAAAGGAAAAACCGTCACTATTTGGGAGGTCATAAACTCCGAGTATTTTACTGAGGACCAGAGAAGAGAACTGATCCGTCAGTACAAGTCTGGCAAGATCACCGTGGAGAAGATCATCAAAATTGTCATCACTGTTGTGGAAGATAAAGACAAGGACAGTGGAAGTGTGTTCAGTGGTTTGAGGGCTCCGGTCTCTGCCAGTGAACTGTTGGAGTCTAAGATTATAAACAAGGATCTGTTCAACAAACTAAGTAACGGTAAGATCTCGGTTCAAGAGGTTTCTGCCATGGACCTGGTGAAGAAGGCTTTACAAGGAACACCCAGCATTGCTGGACTGTTGAATGAACCAACCAAGGAGAAAGTGCCTTTCTATCAAGCCATGAAAAAGGACCTGCTCTCTCCAGAGACAGCTGTGAATCTCCTTGAAGCTCAAGCAGCGACAGGGTTTATGATCGATCCAGTGAAAAATGAGAGGATGCCTGTTGATGAAGCCGTTAAAGCGGGTCTCGTTGGTCCAGAGCTGCACGAACGCCTCCTGTCAGCAGAGAGAGCTGTCAGCGGCTTCAAAGATCCGTACACCGGCAAAACTGTGTCTGTTTTTGAAGCCATGGGCAAAGGCCTTGTAAAGAAAGATCAGGGCATCCGTCTGCTACAAGCACAACTTTCAACAGGTGGAGTTGTTGATCCGATTAAAAGCTACCGAGTCCCACATGAGGTCGCCTGCAAGCGTGGATATTTTGATGAAGAAACTGGTAAAACCTTGAACCAAAAYACAGATGAGATTAAAGTATTTTATGATCCCAACTCACAGGAGGATGCAACTTACTCACAGCTCATGAATAAATGTGTCACAGACAAAGAAACTGGACTTCCACTGCTTCCCCTCTCAAAGAAGGCAAAAGAAGACAAACAGATCACGGAGGTCAAAACAAAAGAAGCCCTGAGTGAAGCAACCATGGAAATGGAGCACGGCCCATTCAAAGGGAGAAAAGTCCCAATTTGGGAGATCATAAACTCTGAATACATCACAGAGGAACAAAGAATAGAGCTGATCCGTCAGTACCGGATGGGACTGGTAACAATTGAGAAGCTGATAAAGATTGTAATAACGACAGTTGTTGAAAAGGAGGATAAAACAAAGACAGAACCTTGTTTTGAAGGCCTCCGAGCACCGGTCCCTGCCAGCTCGCTGCTTGATTCCGGCATCATTGACAAGGCTACATTCGAGCAAGTCATGCAGAATAAAAAGACGCCCAAAGAAGTCGGTCAAACTGATAAAGTCAGGAAGTACCTGCAAGGCACAGACTGCATCGATGGCATCACCATGGCAGATAAAGATGAAAAGTTCAGCATTTATCAGGCAATGAAAAAGCACCTTCTGCAATATAACACTGGACTGGCTCTTCTTGAGGCTCAAGCTGGGACTGGAGGTATAACAGATCCAGTTAAAAACCTGAAGTACTCTGTGGAYGATGCTGTGAAGGTTGGAGTTGTTGGCCCAGAGCTTCACGAAAGGCTTCTTTCAGCAGAAAAAGCCGCGACTGGATACAAGGATCCATACACAGGCAATAAAATATCTCTTTTCCAAGCCATGAAGAAGGAGCTTGTGCTGAGGGAGCACGCTATTCCTATTTTAGAAGCTCAGTTTGCAACAGGAGGCATCGTTGATCCAGTCAGTAGCCATCGTGTTCCCAACGATGTGGCCATTCAGCGTGGCTGTTTCAGTAAAGAAATGTTAAAGTCTTTCAATGAACCAACAGGCGATGTTAAAGGCTTCACCGACCCCAACACCAACAAAAGTGTGACTTATCGCCAGCTCCTGGAGAAATGCACTAGAGACCCCACCTCAGGYCTGTGCTACCTGAGTCTATCGAAGACTGAAGCTCCTGCACCGGCTGAGAAATCCTACGAGTATACGGAGGAGCAAGCCAAAACAGACCTAGCTAATACTCAAATCGAGATCCCACACAAGAGCTTTGAAGGAAAGGCTTTGACTATCTGGGAGGTGATGAACTCAAACATGCTTCCAGAAGAAGAGAGGCGCCGCCTCATGGAACAGTACCGCATGGGTCAAATCACAAAGGAGAGAATGATAATCATCATTATTGAAATCATCGAACAACGAGAGACTCTCATTTCTGAGCAGGGCCTGTCGTGTGATGTGATTAGACGCAGAATTACGATCGAGGAGCTGTACAGTGCTCGAATCATTGATTTGAACACATACAATCTCCTGAAGCAAGAAAAGATGAGCATTCGTGAGGTGATGGAAATGCCGTCAGTGAAGCAGTACCTCTTTGGTACTGGATGCATTGCTGGGATTATGTCCGACAGTCCTCCCAGGATCAGCATTTACCAGGCCATGAAGAACGGACAGATTAAGCCTGAAGTYGCTCTGAAACTTCTCGAAGCCCAAGCAGCTACAGGATTCATGATTGACCCAGTGAGAGATCAGCTTCTAACAGTTGATGAAGCTGTACGTAAAGGTCTTGTTGGCCCTGAACTCCATGACAAACTTCTCTCAGCTGAGCGAGCAGTGACCGGTTACAAGGATCCATACAGTGGAAAGGTCATTTCCCTCTTCCAAGCAATGAAAAAAGACCTGATTCCTGAAGATTACGCCTTACGGCTACTGGAGGCCCAGAATGCCACCGGAGGACTGATGGATCCTGAATACTACTTCCATCTGCCTGTAGATGTCGCCATGCAGAGAGGATACATCAATAAGGAGACACTTGACAGAATAACTGAACCTACTTTAGACGTGCGAGGTTACATTGATCCAACAACTGATGAAAACCAGTCCTATGCACAACTACTGAAAAGATGCAGAGCTGACAAAGAAAGTGGTTTGAAGTTGCTTTCACTGGCAGACAGAAGACTTCTCTTTAAGGGTCTCAGAAAACAAATCACCATAGATGAACTGCTCCGCTCTCAGATTATCGACCAAAAGACCTACAACGAGCTCACCGAGGGTGTTGTTACAGTAGAGGAGGTCAGCAGAAACGTCAAGAAGTACCTCGAGGGCACCAGCTGCATCGCTGGTGTGTACGTAGAATCCAGCAAAGACCGTCTGTCAATTTACCAAGCAATGAAGAAGAACATGATCAGACCAGGAACTGCCTTTGAGCTTCTTGAGGCTCAAGCAGCTACAGGGTATGTGATCGATCCCATCAAGAACCTGAAACTGAACGTCATCGAAGCTGTTAAAATGGCTGTTGTTGGCCAAGAGTTTAAGGACAAACTCCTCTCAGCTGAACGAGCTGTCACAGGCTACAAGGACCCTTATTCTGGCAAGGTCATCTCTCTTTTCCAGGCTATGAAGAAAGGACTGATTCTCAAAGACCACGGTATCCGTCTGCTGGAGGCTCAAATTGCCACGGGGGGAATCATTGATCCAGAAGAGAGTCACCGTTTGCCTGTTGAAACGGCGTATGAACGTGGCCTTTTTGATGAGGAAATGAACGAGATTCTCACTGACCCCTCCGATGACACAAAAGGTTTCTTTGACCCCAACACWGAGGAAAATCTGACCTACCTGCAGCTGATGGAGAGATGCATGACGGACCCAGAGACCGGCCTTCGCCTCCTGCTGCTGAAAGAAAAGAAACGAGAGAGGAAGACGTCCTCCAAGTCTTCAGTTCGCAAACGACGGGTCGTCATCGTGGACCCAGAGTCTGGCAAAGAGATGTCGGTTTATGAAGCGTATCAGAAGGGTCTGATTGACCACCAGACCTATCTGGAGCTGGCAGAGCAGGAGTGTGAATGGGAGGAGATCACAATCACATCATCTGATGGAGTCGTGAAGTCCATGATCATTGACAGGAGGTCAGGCCGGCAGTACGATATTGATGATGCAATCTCCAGAGGCCTGATTGATAAGTCAGCACTGGATCAGTACMGATCTGGAACCTTATCCATTACGGAGTTTGCTGATATGCTGTCTGGAAACATGAGCGGTAACAGATCCCGTTCTTCCTCCTTCGGCTCCTCTTCCTCCTACCAGTCGTCCTCCTACCCCATGAGCCCAGTACCTACTATCAAAACACCAGCAACAACCTGGAATGACCCAACAGAGGAAACTGGACCTGTGGCTGGAATCTTAGACACAGAGACACTGGAGAAGGTTTCAGTCACTGAGGCCATTCATAGAAATCTTGTGGACAATATAACGGGTCAAAGATTGCTGGAAGCCCAGGCCTGCACTGGAGGCATCATCGACCCAAACACCGGGGAGAAGTTCTCTGTTGCCGATGCTCTGAACAAAGGACTTGTGGATAAAATCATGGTAGACCGCATCAATTTAGCCCAGAAGGCGTACAATGGATTTGAAGATCCCAGAACTAAAACCAAAATGTCTGCAGCCCAAGCTCTGAAGAAAGGATGGCTTTATTACGAAGCTGGGCAGCGATTCCTTGAGGTCCAGTATCTCACCGGTGGCTTGATTGAACCCGACTCTACCAGCAGAGTCTCTATAGATGAGGCCGTGAAGAAGGGCACCTTAGATGCACGCACGGCCCAGAAGTTACGAGACGTTAGCGCTTATTCAAAGTACCTCACCTGTCCGAAAACTAAACTCAAGATCTCCTACAAAGATGCCATGGAAAGGAGCATGACAGAGGAGGGAACCGGTCTGAGACTACTTGAAGCATCCTCTCAGTCCAGTAAAGGTCTTTACAGTCCCTACAGCATCAGCGGTTCTGGCTCTGCAACCGGGTCACGCTCCGGATCAAGGACTGGTTCCAGATCTGGCTCCAGGAGGGGCAGCTTTGATGCCACAGGGTCGAGCCTCACTACAACCACCTTCTCGTCTTCCTCCTACAGTTCTTCCTCCTACGGTTCTCCGAGCTACAGCCGGAGGTACTGAAGGTCGACGTGCTTTAAAACGCTCACCAGATGCCTCAATCTCTGTGGAATAAAGACCATCTGTATGCTGTTCTGCACGAGGTTGTTACAACACTTTAAACATTTAATTTTTTTACAATTGTAATCCATTTGCTGTTTGTGTATTTTATCCTTTAAGGCCCGTGTATGTGGCCTCCTCAGATTCACGGTCATTCTGTAAGCAGTTTGTTCCATGAATCTAAAACATCTTCTTCTGCTTGACTCTTCGATTGTTAAACTTTAGGAAAAGCATTTAGTCTTCCACTAACACACATCCGTTTCCCTAAAATACTGTGTTGGACTGATAGAGAACCAAATTGGATGTACAAACTTAAACTTCTGTACATGTGTATATTTCTGATTTATTAGTATAAGTAGTTCTCTGCAGAGCAGAATATGGAGTCAAATGAAGAGAAATAATGAGAATCTGCTGAATGAATGCAAAGCTTCAAGATCTTTCCTCGGCTGGGACACATCTGTAAACACAACGAAGCAGCTCCATCTCCAAAAAATCCATCACAAATCAGGAACAAAGCCCGCTGAGAGGAACTTAGAGATGATTGAGAATAAAACCTGCATCTGACAGATCTGGATTTGGAAGACCACCATGTTAACCCCTGCTTGTTCCAGACACGTTGACAGGTTCGTAAAAAGAACCGAGGTTTTGCTTTAGTCCATGACTGGATTATTGTGATCTAATGTTTCTGTTTCGTGTCGTCTCCAGGTTTTTGCTCAGACATCTGCAGTTCGTGGGTTTTAATCTGACTCGGACCACCACTGGGATCACTGAATCACAGTCCTCTCTGCTCCAGGCGTGGGCCGGTATCATGTTAGCTTGTTGCAAACATAGGTAGGAAATAAAAATACGCTCTGGCTTTATCTGGCTTTAGACATTTAAACCATTAGAACATATAAACATTAACACGTGACGTTTTAACTCTGTGGTGTGTTGAAAACAGGAACCGGCCCATGGCTGAGCTGCTTGGTTTGTTTTTAACCCATGACGCATGACTTAAACATTAGCCTTAAAGTTTTATCAAGAAAACCTTTTTACTGTCAGACGACAAATGAACACCGTCCATTGTTCCTTATATGTACTGTACTGATCATTAACTCTGTTTCTGTTGGTAAAAATCATGACTGAACGTTTGTGAGAAGAATCTTTAAGCTTTGCTCCACCAGTATTTCTATTTCCCCAACACGTACGTACTTCTCTGTAAAGCAGCATATTACCGTTTTATTTTCATATGATATATTTTTGCTTTGCATGTTTTTACTAACAAATGAAAGATGCAAACATTGAAATACTTGTATTCTTTGACTTTTGGTTTGTTTTTATGTTTTAAAAGGTTTGAAGGATGTATTTTAGCCTCGTCTCAAGTGGTGTATTTATAATAAAAGAAGGCGACATGGAATTTTAATGTAACATCGTACACGATGTAAATAAACAGAAAAAATGCTCTTGCTTGTTTTTATTGATCACAGTGGTCTTTGTTAATGTTGGAGGAAATTATGTCAAAGTTTAATATCTGTGACCCATCACATCGAAACGAGGATTAAGTCCAAAAGTGGGATGTGGAGAAATGGGCAGATGTAGGGTTTTGATTTAAACGTGTTCAAATGTTGCATTTTGTCAAAATGTAATGAATTAATGCCTTTTCAATGTTTCATTTTAATGAACTGTCTGAAATATAATCCTAAAATTTTTTGAAGCCTTTTTTGAGCAGTAGCAACAAAAAAACTTATTTTTAAGGAAAAATACCTAAAAATTTTGAATTTTTCCCAGTGAGTTAGCAATGTTTTGGTTTCTTTCCAACTGGGAAATCTCAATATTCAAATATAATTTGAGGTTTCCTCTTTATAAGGACATCAGAAATTCAAAATGTCAAAATTTAAAATGACAGAGGTCATCAAGGTTCGCTTCGGGACAGCGGTGGTCACACCGGGTCAACAGAACCACCATGTCCGGTCCTTCCCCGGTACCGCCATCACGGCCTCGTCGTCCGGGTTAAAGGTCACGGTCAGAGCTGCCCGTTCCTCCGGTGCCTCTGCTGGAAGTGTCAGCTGCAGACCCAGAAGAACCGGACCAGAACCGGAAACCCTGAGAGACCCGGAGCTGCCAGGGGAGACCACTGGGCTCCTGTGGAGGACGGGATCTGACCCGGACCTGTTGGTCTGACCCAGGAGGAGGAGGGGATCCGAGCCGGACCTGGACCCGGTGGTCTGACCCAGGAGGAGGAGG